AGCTGAGTGCGTGGGTCCTGGGCCAGCGGCCGGGCCTGGGCGGGGCGTCCTGCTGGCCGCTGACGTGGTCATCTCCGCTAGAGGTTCATAATCACTTTAACAAATCGGCAGCATTTTCTCTACTTATTAATTTTTAAATCTATTTTTATTGATTTCAGAGAGGAAGGGAGGGGGAGAGAAAGGAACATCAAGGATGAGAACCCTTGATGGCTGCCTCCGGCGCGCCCCACACTGGGGATGGGGCTGCACCCCGGCCAATGCTCTGATCGGTGACCTGGTTCAGAGGTGGACGCTCAACCACCGGGCCACACCGCCTGGCGCATTTGATCTACTTTAAACCTTTTATAGCGGAAATTGTCAAACATGCACAGAAGGTCAGCCATGGTGCCCATCTCCAGGCAGAGCTGCGCCTGCAGACAGGGGTGGTTTCCCGGCCACTGCCACCCCCACAGAGCCCCGTGGATCCCTCTCGCTCAGTTTGCCCACTGACGCCCCTGCAGTTCAGGAAGCCTGTGGGTTTATGGGTCCTGATGGGGCAGCCAGGCCTCCATACAGAGGGGGAGACAGCCCCCAGGATCCCAGAGGCCGAGGTGTAACCTCAGAGGTCAGCTGGGACATGGTGACTCTGGGAAATGCCATCCCAGCTGTACACACTTTTTATGCCGAGGGCACAGCTATGTAGCTCGCCATCACAGCACCCTGCCTGGCACCCAGCACTGTGCCAGGCCCAGAGCAGGTGTCTGGAGAAGGAGGCGTTTCCATGGTTCTGGAAAACTGGGGAAAGGATGTTGATCCTGGAGTCAGGAGACCCCAACAAGCCTCCTCTCACTGTTGGTCAGGGGTCCACTAGGACCTCTGTCTCCTCGTCTGCCCTTCCTCCCAGCTGTGCTGTTCTGGATGGAGCTCCGGGGAAGGTTCTGGAGGCAGCGCAGACTCCGTCATGCAGCTGCCTGTCCCTCCCCACGGGGCCCGCGTGGTCGGAGGAGACCTGGGCGGAGGGCCATGCTCCTCCGAGAAGAGGAAAAACTCGTGACTCACGGAGGGGCAGAAGCTGAGTCAGCCCGGCCACAAGCTGTGGAAAAAGCGAGGGCTCCCTGAGGACTTTTCTGCAGCTTCCTGGCTGTGGGGCTCAGGGCTCAGGGCTCAGGGTGTCGGGATTGGGGAACAAAAAGAAAGCTGGGAAAAACATAATGAAAAGGAAACAGCCTTGTGTTTGAGCCAGGAGCACGCACCGTCTCAGTCACACCGGAGGGCGGAGGCTGCGTCACCACTTCAGACAGAAGGACCCTGAGGTGTCCCCAGGTCCCTTCTTCTTCTTCTTTTTTAAATATATTTTTATTGCTGTCAGAGAGGAAGGGAGACAACCCAGGCATGCGCCCCAACCAGGAATCCAACTGTGACCTCCTGGTTCATAGGTCAATGCTCAACCCCTGAGCCACGCCCAGACAGCTGGATTGCTGCTTCCATCTCCCCCAGCCTCGGGGTGGCTCCCTCCCTCCCTCCTGCCAGCCAGCAGCCGGGAGCCAACTGTGGGGAAGGCACGGTGGGGTTGCTGGTCGCTCCTGGGAGCAATCATCTCATCACACCGGCGGAGCTGAGGCCCATCTGGACTGAATTGGGGGGTGGCTTCATGAGGCAGCGCCAGGCCCCAGCAAGTCTTAGTGCTTCATTAAACACCAATTCCCGAGTCACTTATTTTGTTGTTTTGTATTATTTGTATTTTATTTTTTGTGCCGCACAGAGGGTGAGGGAGGAGCTGAGACGCACAGCTCGGCCGGGGGCAGACAATGGATGCAAACCCTTCTGCAGCTGCCCTGTGGCTGGGAGGGGCCAGAGTGCGGGCAGCTGGTGGGATGTGGGGTGTCACCCCTCAGCCCCCTGACCTGGGTGCCAGTGCGCCTGTTCTGGGCTGCAAGGGACCCTCAAAAATGCCACCACCCTACCTGGGGCCTTACCTCCCGGCCAGGGCAGGGCACACCTAGAGGAACCCGGCTGGGGTGGGGCTGGGCACCCCGCTCTGCCCTGCCCTCTACTCCCAGGATGACTCTGACCACTGGCTTTTGCTCTCTGGGCCTCAGTTTCCCCAACCGAGTCCCAAGTGCCTCACCAGGTGTTGAGGCGGTAGAGTGGGCAGCGGCCCTGGGGAGGCTGGGGCATCCTCTCCAGGGAGGGGAGGAGGAAGTTCCAAACCAGGAGACAAGAGTCCTGGCTAATGAGGCTGCAGGGGGAGGCCTTTCGCCCTTTGTACCTCTCCCCCTCCACCCCTTGGCTGTTTTGTTTTCTTCTGGTCGCACAACAAATATTTAACTGCACGCTCACTGTGTGCAAGGCCGTGTCTAGGTCGCCCAAGGTTACCATGTGATGATGGTGGAGACAAGCCCGGCGCCCCGTCATATTCGGTAAAGGAGCAGGCGCAGTTGTTCAGGGCTAAGTGGTGTGGAGAGTGCAGGAGGGTCCTGTGGGAGGTCCAGCCCAGAGGCTGAGCAGGAGTGGCGGTGGCACCGTGCGCGGAGGCGGCAGGACATGGGTGGCGGGGGGTGAGGGGCTGAGAGAGGGTGGCAGGGGCAGGCCAGGCTGGGGCAGAGCGCCTGTCATTCTCAGGGTCCTGGGAACTCGTGCGTGGGTTTGGGCTGAAGAGAGGGTGACAGGACCTGAGTCACGGGTCACGGAGGTCGCCTGGCTGTGGCCAGAGCCACGTAAGGAGGGAGGGGGAGGAAGGCTGTGGCTGAGATGCCGGGCGGGGGTGGGAGCTGGGGCCTGGGAGGTGGAGAGGTCGAGGGGAACCACTGGGACTCAAGGAGATTGGTGGGGCTGTGAGTGCGAGACCCACGCACCTGCTGGTAGTTAGCGAGCCCGCTGGGTGAGGCACCATCTCCTGCCTCTCCCTCCTCACCACCCTCTCACCTCACCCAGGACTAGGCCTGGGACCGCTTCCTGGGAGAGGCACACAGAGGCTGCGCTCCTGGGCTGCAGCGGCCCCTTCTGCGGGCAAAGCCGCCAGGACAGCCAGCCCGGCCCTGCGGGACGCCAGCCCCGCACCCAGCCATCTCTGCGTCCACTACGTCACGCTCGCCCTTCACAGCCAGGAACGATCACCAGGAGCGTCACGACTCGTTTTAATCTGTCTACCACCCTCGGTAATGACGCCTGTTTAAGACACCCATTAAGGGCCCATGCGGGTAATTAAATGGACAATTCCAGTACGATCCTACTAGAAGCCCCTCGATTAAGTTAATATTAGAGGCACTTAACAGATGTCTTAATTAGGCATTACAGCGACGAAACACAGCGCCATGAGAACGCCGCTGTCCAGAGAGAGCTCTTTACCAAGCATTTACGGGGCGGCCACGTTTACTCTCAGAGCCTGCCGACCTTTCCCCGCACCCGGAAGCGCCACCCTGAGGCCACGGTCTTGAACCCCGGCCCAGACGCCCGAGCTGGGGGGACGTCAGACACCATCTGGAGCCCACGGTCCCGAAATGTCAGTGACAGAGGAGCAGCTGGGCCTCAGAGGACGCGAAGCTTCTGGGGGCCCTGGGGTCCCCCTGCAGCCTAGGACCTGGATGCGGTCACGTGTACCCCGCGATCCCGGGGCAGGAAGTCTCAGGTGCCTCTCCAGGAAACCCCCATCGTCTGCTGGCCCCACTGGACAGAGGGTGACACTGAGGCCCGGGCTTCAGGACAGTGCATGGCCGGCGGAATGCCCCCTGGCCCACGGGCCGGAACTTTCCCAGCAGCTCTCCTTCCCACTAGGCGGCAGAGCCTCTGTGTCTCCTGAAGGCCGGGGACTGGCAGCCAGAGCCCACGCCCCTGCCCACCTCTCCTCCTGCCAGCCCGAGCCCAGCGGGCAGGTGACTGCCCGGGTCCTCGATGGCTCTGCGGGCCCTGCCCTGAGCCTGGGGGTGACCACCTTCTTCAGATCCCACAGCTGCTCGGACCCGGAGCCCACTCCAGGGAGCCCCCTCTGCCCACCCAGGCCCCAGAGGGAGGGAGGGTGGAGGAGCTCAGCTGTTTGCAGAAACTGTGGTCCAGACATGTCACAGACCAGAGCTGGGCCCCGCGCCTGTGGGCGGTGTCTGCAGAAGAAGCCGAGGCCTGAGGCG